TAGGGTTTAGGGTTTAGGTAATTCAAACTTCAGGCCTTAGGGACTTTAGGGTTAAACTCTAGGCTCGGGTACAGAGGGAAGTGCGCGAAGTTCTGCGACTTCGATGGAACGTGGCAGCAGGGCTGGAGGGCCTTGGGGCTCATAACAAGATGGGAATTTCCCAAAAATGGGGTTTAGGGTTTAGGGTTTAGGGTTTAGGGTATAGCACCCTAAACTGTAGGATCCTTATTATAAGGACCCCAAATCAGGTACCCCTTATTTTCGGAAAGTCCCAGATGTGGGTAGTTCTCTAAAGTGGACCCTTTCAGGGTCCTTTTAACAAGAATGCCGTACTAGTTTGGGGACCAAAGAGACCCTGAGTTAGAGAACTACCCATGTGGTTTAGGGTTTAGGGTTTAGGGCATAGAGTCCTCAAGGCGCAAGGCAGTACAGTACATTAAGCTTGCAAGGACCCAGCGATAACAGATCCGTACACCTTAACACGAAGCTGCAGTCAGAACTATAGGGGGCACCTTGATCAGCCTGAAAGAAAAGCCGAATAACCACAAAAACAACTCCTGGCAGCCTGAGTCCTAAGCCAAGGCCTACTCATGGACCCAACTGAACCAGACGCAAGACGCAAAAACGTAAACAAAGGCCCCTTCCCTCACCCTCCCTAGACCCAAAAACCAAAACCCAAACCCCCAAACCCGTAGCCCCTAAACCCTAAACCCTAATTACTAAACCCTAAACCCTAAACCCTAAACCCAAACCCCTAAACCCGTAGCCGCTAAACCCTGAAGTCCTCCGGGAAAATCTCGGAGTTGGTGCTGTCTACGCTCGGGCTTGGCCTGGGGCTTGAATCAATTCCCTAGGGCTCCAAGTATACAAATGGTACCTACTTTGGGGTCTAAAGTCTGTAAATAGTACCTACATTGGGCTATTTGGAGCCCCAGGGATTTCGCCCATGATTCGCACACGTACACACTTGTTCAGGGCTTATGCCGTCTGGTCACATGTTCTGCGTGAGAAAGTATCACTGTTCTGCGGGCATGCCTGCTTGAATCTTTACCTCATTTTCACCCGGTCTGTCCAGGCCAGCGTTTGCTTGTGCAAATTGTGATTGCTGGCAACAAACGATATGCCTTGCCGTGCATTACACGTGTGTACTTGGCATCTTCTTCGATGCCAGTGGCCATCCTCAGAGCTCGTGTCCTCTTTCATGAGCATTTGGAACGTCACATCAAGATGAACTTCGAAGCTGAATCCCTCGAAGGCTTGATAAACAGCTCGGATTCATTGTAGTGATTTTTCCAGCTTGAAGCGTACCCAAACAGCTGGAGAATCAAGGTCGTGTAAGGTTAAGTCGTAAACCACGATGAATTCCTGTCGCGGGGTTTGGTCTTGAAGGGTAGACAATAAATACCATATGGAAACCCAATTATGTACCGTATATCCTCATGATGATAGTGATACCTTAACAGCAACCCAGTCTAGGGGTTAAGGTTGAAAGGTCCACCGCCACTTGGCGCCGAGCAAGGTCTGCGACTGCGGGCTCTTCGCACCCTTCGGCGAGGGCATGGGCGAGCCCATGGGCGACAGAATTTCCTTGCGGCTTCTGTAAGGACTGCCTATAAACGCCTCTGGCCGCCTTAGAACAGTAACAATAGCAATAGTAGTAACAACACAAGTGTTGGCATGTAGTAGTAATAATGACGACAACCATAGAAACCATGGCACACATGGTAGAAGCGCATGACAGCAAAGACATGCAAAACAATACGCACCCCTATAATGGGAATTCTGGGTTGCACGGTGTAACTACCCAAAGGGTCCAAGTTATAGTGTAGCATATACTTTGGGGGCCCAAATACCTACAAAGTAGCTACCATATTACTACTTGGACCCTTTGGGCTACTTGTGATCCTGTGGACCTAGGTTTGCCGGGGGCCTTGCTTTGATGGGCACGTGCTTTGCTATTTGGTGAGTTTGGTTATACATGTTATTATCCAGTTAGTACATCGTTAGGTCGTTCATTGTAACCGAGTATAATACAGTAAGCCACACGTACTTAAACAACTCGCAAGTTATTAGCCAAATAAGTCTCTGAGATACTCAAATTATTATTCGTACTAAGCGGTAAGTGCTGGTGCATAGTGTGAGCAAGAAATCATCTGGGTGAAACCCATGAAGCACCCCTAAACCCTAAACCCTAAACCCTAAACCCTACATGGTCAGAAGTCTCTAGGTCAGCTCCGTCTTTGCAGTCGGAGACACCTCTGCAGAGAACCCTTCACTAGAACCCAAGACCCGAAACTCTTACACAGCCTACACCTAGACCCAAGACCCCAAAGCCGCACAAAACCCGTTTAAAACCACGTAAGAACACCCAACCAATCCATTAGTGGTAGCAGTGGCAGCTTTCTGGTGCCTGCTTGCGCAGCTCCTCCTCCACACGCTCCTCCTGAATCCAGATGCTTTCTAAGGCTTTTTGCCCCCAGACTCCACCCCAAAACCGTTCTGAAAGCAGCCTCCGACGTCCGACAGAGACTGGACCTCCCACTTCTCAGCGCCCAGGATGCTGTTCCCAGTATATGGGTAGTTTTCCAAATTAGGGACGCTTTTGGTGTCCTTTTTATAAGGGTGCCGTACTATATTGGAGATCTAAAAAGGGACCCTAATACCATATAATACCGGTGATCTGAATGATTTCTATGCCCCTTAGAACCCCAAGTCTACAATCTAAAGACCCACCACCCCTACCACCATGGAGCCCCACTAACCCTCAGCCGGAGCCCCACTGCGGCCTGAATCCGAAATCCCAGACTTTACAAGTTCCGTCATCTGAACTTCTTGAGTCTGTTCAGCAACTCTGCAGCTGACTGGGGTGTTATCACACACGAGTGTTTACGTGGTCTTAAAGGGCTCTTATCCCACTGCACCACAGTGGTTGAGGGTGTTGTGTAAGCTTTTTACTTTCTGGTTTGTATAGTTTTAGGTGCGGGGCTTCGTGCAATTATGGCCCACAATTCTGACTACACGGTCTGAGGCTGTTGTGTTCGCCTGTAGTTGCGTGCTGCGGCTTCTTTACAGCTGACTGTGGAAGGCTACGCGGCGCACATGCTACCTGTAGCCGAACGAACCTGCTACAGATAGCAGACAAAGAGATCATGGGACCACATCAGCCCTAAACCCTGAAAACCGACCCATCCATCCACCCGGCCTCTAGACGCCGCCTCATCATATTCTACGCATACGTGCATGCCTTCCTGATGCGTGCCCTACAGACATGCAAGCACACAGCAGGGTCAACGAGCCGAAGCTCAGAGGATGCTAAACCCCAAACCCTAACCCTCCAGGTACCGACTACATAGGGCCCTAGGGGCTCTAGTACCCTCTATAGTAGGTACCTGGAGGATTAGGCTAAACCCTAAACCCTACCTAAACCCTAAACCCTAATCCCAAAACCCTTTCAACCGAAAGGCCCTAAACCTGACTCCCACCTGCGTCCGCAGCCTTGCGACTGAAGAGCGAGGATACACCTTGTAGGCCTGAGATGTCGCACTCGGATCGGGGCTTAGGGCTTAGGGCTTAGGGTTTAGGGTTTAGGGTTTAGGGTTAGGGTTTAGGGTTTAGGGTTTAGGGCTTCGGGTTTAGGGTTTAAGGGTGTGGGTTTAGTGGTTAGGGGTTTGGGGTTTAGGGTTTAGGTATGGCTGTGCCTCTAGTCACCTGTGTCCAGAAGTGTATGCAGGTTCTCTGAAGAGTCGCTAAAAACTTATATGAGGCCAACTGTAAGGTTGAGGGCTTATAGGGTTTAAGGTTCACGGTTTAGAACGGCTCATAGGGCCTAGGTCTTACAGGGCTGAGTGCCTCGAGGGAAGGGCTGATGGAGTTGAGGATTTCGAGGTTAGGGTTGATGGGGCTTTGGCTTTCGGGCTTGGGGCTTAATTGAAGGGTTTAGGGGTTTAGGGTATAGGGTTTCGGGCTTAGGGTTGAGTTTTAAAACTAGCCGATTTAGGCCAGTTTCTGGCGTGGCAAGATATCCGCTGTTTGCTCTGGCCGGTGCCAGGTTTGTGAAGGAACTCATGCAAGGTTAAAATTGAAGCACAGAGCCTTGCAGCTGCGGGCATCTGGGTTTACCGGCTGCGAGTTTCCCTCTGGAGTCGCAGCCTGACAACTGCCAGCAAAGCACCTCAAGTTACCACAACACCTTGCCCATGCGTTCTGCCCGGACTTTACAACTGCCCTACACAAGAACCCCCAGCGTTAAAGCCCCACATCATGGTCCACATCCCCCCACGTGTCTCAATCTCAGGGGTGGGCAGCCGCAGAACCATCGTTCGGCAACTGGGCCAGTTGTAAATCAGGTAGTTGCTTTCGTGGGTATTGGCTTTCCTGTTTAGAGATATCGAGGGTTTAGAGGTGTGGGTTCAGGGACATAGGAATTCGAGCTTAGGGAGTTGAAAGTTGATGGGAGGTCGTGGGTGTAACCTAAACCCATCGTGAAACCTGCAGAAGCCGAAACAAGCGCCTGCCAATAATAGGTAATGCAATTCCATAGGTTTCGGGCTCCTTATCCTGATCATAAGAAATATACTCCAAAGCGCTATTGCAAGTATTCTGAGAGCCTAAAGAATGAGAGTTCGCTCCGGTCTTTGGTGTGGGTTTTTACTATCCCGGGGCCATAACCCTAAACCCAAATACCCTCAGTAGGATTTTCGATTCGAGATTCAGGCTTTCGGCCACACAGCTTTTGCAATGCAGATTTCGGCCTCCTTGCTCCAGTTGCTTCGTAAGCTCCTGTCGGGCTCAACGTGTCCGATGGCAACCAGGACGGTGCCTCTGCTCTTTGTGTTCTGCTGGCATACATGTTCTCTCTCTCTCGCTCGCTCTCTCTCTCTCTCTCTCCCTCTCTCTCTCTGTTAAATGACAC